TTCACCCACATCTATGGCAGGCGTGCTCAGAGGATGGGAGGTCTGTTGGAAACTAGGAAAATGAGGTTTATAAATCTGTGGAATAATGTCAAGGGTGGGAGAAAGAACTCTTGTCCATTTGAGGCAGGTGTGAATGTTGCAATTAATCACCTTGATTAACATTGCAAAACATTGCAGCTTCAAAGCCTGGCTGCTTCCTGGCTTCCTGGGGAATCCTTTGTTGGGAAGTTTTAGCTGGTCCTGATTGTTTCTTGTCTGGAATTTCCCTTGTTTTCTGAGAGTTGTTCTTTATTTACTGTCTTGATTCTGGTGTTTTTTTAAAATAGTGTTCGTTTTCATGACTTCCTCCTTCCTGTTGAAATTGTCCACATGCTTCTTGTGGATTTCAATGGTTGTCAGGGTTGATCTGAAGGCAGAGGACAACGGCAACAATCCCAGGCTAATATCTGTAAAGTCTTGCCTTAGAAGACACAGCAGTACGACAAAAAGAAGAAATACACAGTACTCATTGTCTGGCAACAACATTTTGCTGACACAATCTTTTCTTCTTGAGTTTACGGGGCATTAGCCTTCCCGAACCAGATGTGGCAAACCCAAAACAGGGTGTGGGAGGAAACCGTGGGACATGTTTCAACTGCGGTCAAGAGATAGTCCTCCAATTTTCCATGGGTGATGCTATCAGCCAAAGGGACCCAACCCTCTTCTGCCACATGCGACCGAGTCCTGCGATGTGGACCAAAACCAGACCTTCCCTCTTCCCTGCTCCACCAAAGCTCAATTTCCTTATTTATTTACTTACTTGCTTGCTTATTTAGGCAATCCCTCATTGTCTGAGTAAGATTGTCCTCCAAGATCGGTGTACTAGCGGTGGGTACATAGGTGGCTGTGGAGCCCTATTCTTGACCTGCATCTTCTCCCACAGTAAGGACATCGGTTTCCAGATGGAAGGCGGTCCCAGTCGGGGTTGGCTTAATGCACCTTCCTCTTGGCACGTTTCTCCCTTTCGCCCTCTATTAGTGACTTTTCAAATTCTGCAGCACTGCTGGTCACAGCTGACCTCCAGCTGGAGCGCTCAAGGGACAGGGATTCCCAGTTCTCGGTGTCTATGCCACAGTTTTTAAGGTTGGCTTTGAGCCCATCTTTCAATCTCTTTTCCTGCCCACCAACATTCTGTTTTCTATTCTTGAGTTCGGATTAGAGCATCTGCTTTGGGAGAGGTGATTGGGCATTTGGATAACACCGCTGGTCTAGTCCGTTTCCACCATCCTGATAAAAACAATGCCTTCTGGTTTGGACATGCTCTCCTCATTTAGACGTTTATCACCAAACAATGCCTGACCCCCCCCCCCTTCTGAATTTTAATAAACTCTCTTTGCAGAAGACTCCTGCAAGGTTGGGGCATAAATCACAGTTCAGAAAAAAAAGAATGGGAGATGGTTTCCTTCTTGCTCAAGGAAGTCATAAATCATAATCAGGCTGCGTTTGTGTGTCAGCTGCACGACAAATGCTTTCTCTCACAAACAGCGCACTGTCATTAGCAAAGGAAAGATGGCTGTAGTGAGACTTCCATCTGCATTCCAGACCCCGGCATCACACTTTCTAATACTGGAGGACACACCAAACATCAGCCTACAGTCAAGAGATGACAGGTTTTGGAGGAAAAAAACACACACACAAGTTAGGAAAGATGGGTGCTCAGTAATGCTTCCTCTTCATCTTGGAAAGAAGTGATGAGTGGAGTGCCATCCGCAGGGTTCCGTCCTGGGCCCGGTCCTNGGCAGGGGGTTGGACTGGATGGCCCATGAGGTCTCTTCCAACTCTTTGATTCTATGATTCTATGATCTTCAGTGTGCTTTTTGTATTGATTGAATATATATACACCACCTTTTTCCTAGGATGGGATCCATGTACAGCTTAAAACAGTAACTTAAGACAAGGTTAGGTTAAAAGACTTACTCTACAAAAGCTTTTTAAAAAGTAGTGGGAATTCTGTGCCCCTCCAGCTGGGCTACAATTCCCAACAGCAGTAGCAAGGAATGCTGGATGTTGTAGTACTTCACAATTCCAAGTTGAAATATTATCCTCTTGGCAGTAGGTTTCTGAGGGTCTTGATTCAGTTTGCTCTTCTCTCTCTCTCTCTCTCTCTCTCTCTCTCTCTCTCTCTCTCTATATATATATATATATATATATATATATATATATATATATTGGGAACTCACAGAATATTTGATATTTCTGAAGAAAGTTCTCAGTTATGTCAGCAGTGTTGTAAAGGTAAAGGTTTTCCCCTTGACATTAAGTCTATTCATGTCCAATTCTGGGGGTGGTGCTCATCTCCATTTCTAAGCAAAAGAACCGGTGTTGTCTGTAGACACCTCCAAGATCATGTGACCAGCATGACTGCATAGAGCACTGTTACCTTCCCGCTAGAGCGGTACCTATTGATCTACTCACATTTGCATGTTTTCGAACTGCTAGGTTGGCGGAAGCTGGGGCTAACAGTGGGAGCTCAGCCCACTCCCTGGATCTGAACCACCAATATTTCTGTCAGCAGCTCAGCAGTTTAACCTGCACCACCAGAGACAGTGTTATGAGCCCCTTATTTGACTTGTCTGGACTATAAACTTCCTTAGATTTATTTATTTTTATTTTGGGTGCCTCTTACATAAATGGCTTGGGGACATGCATAACAGCCATCTTTTCCAGAGTATAAAAGAAGGACCCAATATTGTCTCCAGGCGGTGTTGGCTTGGGTCTCTAACAGAATGTGTTGTGTCTTGCAGGGCGTCTGGGTTCCACTTCCAGCAACAGCTCCTGTGGAAGTGCAGAGTACTCTGGGGAAGTCATCCTGCACCATCCAGGTCAGTATCTGAGCTAATCTTCCGTTCATTTCCAACTTACAGCAAGACTAAGGAATCCTATCATAATATTTTCTAGGCAACATTTGTTCACTTGCATTTGCCTTCCTTTGAGGTTGAGAATAAATAACTTGCTGAACATCACCTCATGGCCAAGCAGAGATTTGAACCCAGGTCTCCCAGAGTCCTAGTCCAGTAGTCAATCCACTATAGCTGGGATCATCCATGGGGATTTCAAGTGGCTTATAGGCCATGCTTTTCCCTACATCTTGTGTGTACTTTTGAATACCTTTAATATTTTTGTCTTGACTACCATCCAGTCAAACTCATTGAATTGAATTGAACTGAATATCATGGTTGAGTTTAATAGTTTAAGATATATGTATTGGAAGCTAAACAGTTCAGAGTTACAGCATCCCAATGAATTACTTAGGGGGTTTTAGGCAGTGATTTTGTCAGTTCCTTCTTCTGAAATTCAGGCTACCACACCTATTCTGTTCCTGCTTACTTTCCAAGATCAATGGGTATTGGGCTTTGAAGGCACAAACACACACCCGATATTGTATCATATTGTAGAGCTCACTGCTACAGGATGTAGCAATGGCTAGCAAAATAGTAATGGTGGCTTTATCACTTAGAATCATAGAATCAAAGAGTTGGAAGAAACCTCATGGGCCATCCAGTCCAACCCCCTGCCAAGAAGCAGGAATATTGCATTCAAATCACCCCTGACAGATGGCCATCCAGCCTCTGTTTAAAAGCTTCCAAAGAAGGAGCCTCCACCACACTCCGGGGCAGAGAGTTCCACTGCTGAACGGCTCTCACAGTCAGGAAGTTCTTCCTCATGTTCAGATGGAATCTCCTCTCTTGTAGTTTGAAGCCATTGTTCCGCGTCCTAGTCTCCAGGGCAGCAGAAAACAAGCTTGCTCCCTCCTCCCTGTGGCTTCCTCTCACATATTTATACATGGCTATCATATCCCCTCTCAGCCTTCTCTTCTTCAGGCTAAACATACCCAGCTCCTTAAGCCGCTCCTCATAGGTATATTGGTAGTGGGAATGTATATCTGTTGCTGGGAAGCTAAAAATGGAGTGTGCAGTTACACTGAAGTCCTGCTGGCAAGAATCCCAGAATCAACTGTGTGAACAGAATATGGGATTAGATAAACTATTGGTCTGTTCCAGCATGGGCCTAGTTATGTTATAAAGAGTTTATGGATTGAGTCTTGGAAAACCTCAGACCGTATCTGGGCATCTTGGGGAGTGATGCTATATAATGAATGGATGAGTATATATTGCAGCAGAAGCAGCTTTCTTGATATCTTTCCATTGCTAATAGGTTTTTGGGGTGCTGGTTCTTTCTTTTTTTACAGGTCTTCCCAAGTCTGATCCTGGACACTGGTGGGCGAGCTTCTTCTTTGGAAAACCGACTCATCCAATCATGACAACTGTATCGGAATCCCCAGAGAAGTAAGTGGTAGTAGGCTGAAGTGGGAAGGAAATCCATGTGTATGAGATAGTAAGGGAAGCAGAATGAAAGTGGGGGCAATTTTACACTACCCAGTAATAGTACTTTAACTGCCATGTTTCCATCTTACGTAGTTTGGTAAGGTACTAGACCAGATAAGGTACTAGAGTTTGTAGTTTGGTAAGGTACTAGACCAGGCATGAACAAACTTTGGCCCTCCAGGTGTTTTGGACTTCAACTCCCACAATTGCAGGTTTTCCTTTTGTGGCTTTGATTAGTTGCAGTTTTAATACGATCTCTCTAAGTCTTCCAGTGCAACCCTATAGTCAATGTGTGCTAAGTTGTGCTTTAGGACCTAGGGGTTCCTAGAACACTTTGCTAAGCATTTGAAGGTTGTCCAGTGGAAATTGACCATAGTCATATTGGGGAACCTAGAGATTCCTAAAGAATAGTATCTTACTCACTTTTCCCCACTTTCATGTGTATCCTGCATCTCTACCTCAAGGAAATGTGGAGGGCCAATTATAGTGTGTCATTTCCCCAAATCTGGACTTCAGCTCCCAGAATCCTTGATCATTGGCCAAGGCACATGGGTCTTCTGGCTGTTGAAATCCAAAACACCAGGAGGACTAGACTCTGGGAGTCACAGCTATTCTTCTATGCCTGTGATATGCCCATGAGTTTGTTGGAAGATTGGAAGAACCTCCTTATGGAGATGGGCTAGAGCAGAGGTGTCAAACTTGTGGCCTTTGAGATGTTTGGGCCTCCAACTGTCCTATCCAGCTTGTCCAATGGCCAGGAATTTTGGGAGCTAAAGTCCAAAATCACCTGGAGGGGCACAGGTTTGCCACCAATAGGCTAAATGCAATGATGTCTTAAGTTACCAAGGATGCTCTCTAATCCTTTGCACGTTCTTGCTCCTTCACTCCCTTCTGCTTCCCACCTGTCCCTGCAGCTCAGGCACTTTCCAGGTGGCGCACGGCACGATCACATGTGACCTGGCTCAGGAACTAATGAGGAAGCGCCACGCCAGCGAGCCCAGCAAGCCCAGCGCCGGTCCCACCGCGTGAGGAGGCTGATGGCCCGTCGGCTGGCCCTTCTGACTTGGAAGGCTAGGAGTCAGAGTCCATTTTCCACTCCCCCTCCCTGTAGAGTAGGTATAGGCTGCCTCGAGTACCACTTTAGACGTAGGTTTTTATAAAAACAAAAATGCCAACTTAAAAAAAACAAAAACACCAAACAAACCTTCTATACACCATCTTTTCTACTCTTTTTTGGGTTTTTTTTAATTATTATTTTGGTAAATTCAACTACGTCTCTTTTTTTTCTTCCAACACAGCCTTGATAAAGCTCTCTCTTCTTTTTTCTTTTTTTCTTTTTTGTATTTTGTACTCGTCTATGGAAACTAATAAAGCCTGAGCAGCCTTTTAAACAGTGTGTGTAATTCTTCTCAATTTCAGCAAACATGGGGAAGGAAATAATGTGTAGACAAAGTCTTTACACTGTCAATCCCTGTAAGTAAAGGTAAAGGTTTCCCCTTTAGTTGTGTCTGACTCTATGGGGTGATGCTCATCTCCATTTCTAAACCGAAGAGTCGGCGTTGTCCATAAATGCTTCCAAGGTCATGTGGCCAGCATGAAACACCATTACTTTCCTGCTGGAGCGGTACCTATTGATCTACTCATATTTGCATGTTTTCAAACTGCTAGGTTGGCAGAAGCTGGGCCTAACAGCTGGAGTTCACCCTGCTCCCCGTATTTGAACTGCCAACCTTTGGATCAGCAAGTTCAGCAGCTCAATGGTTTAACCCACGGCACCACCAGGGGCTCTGTTGATCCCTGTAGCCCAGTGGTTCCTACCCTTTGGGCCTCCAGGTGTTTTGGACTTCGGTTTCCATAGTTCCTAACAGCTGGTAAACTGGCTGGGATTTCTGAGAGTTGGAGTCCAAAACACCTGGAGGCCCAAAGGTTGGGAACCACTGCTATAGCCTGACAAAATAGAGAAGGCTTTTTCTTGCTGTTGGAAGGAGAGAAGACTGTTCCAAATTCCAATAACCAAGTAGGCAATCTCCCTTATTCCCATCAAAGGCACTTGGAGAGGTGGTGGAAAAGCAAAAAGGTTGTATTCGGGGGATTCTTTGGAATACTAGTCCACAAAAGTGAAATACTCAGGTTCCATGTTGTCCATCAGTTGGATGCATTCCATAAGCTTGGCACAGTCTCCCTTGACTTGGCCGGGAGTCAGTACTGTACTTGAAGAATTACACAATCCCCAATCTGATGCAACATGGGGAAATGTAGCACTTCCCTTCCTTATGACTTCAAGGTAACCCTTCTTCATATTGATTGTTCTCCCTGGGGAATCATTTTCAAAATATATTCTGGGAGCTTGTTCTAGGGAAGGAATGGAGCCTAGGGGCAACATTTGCTCCTTTCCAAACTTAAAAACATGGCCAGTTTTATATTAATCACTTTTCTGGAGAAGGAGTTATGGGAGTAATTTCCACCAGACTCTTCTCTAGCCTAAAATGTTCCCTACAAAGGCCCAAAATTGTCTTCTGTGCTCTTTAGGTAAAGGGTAAAGGTTTTCCCCTGACAATAAGTCCAATCATGTCCAACTCGGGGGGGGGGGGGGGG